AGCCTACTTGTGTACCAAGATTTAGATACCCTGTTCAGATAAATATACAGTGCAGAGCGGCTCTTTGAATTGTTCTTCCCCGACTTTCAGGGAAGATGTTTATGAGATTCTTTACATTTTTCGTTGTCCAAAAAGACTCATATATAAATACTAATTATTTTGTTTCATACGAGGGCTGTTCAATATATAATATCCTGAATACTAGAAGTATAAGAGAATTAATGTATTGTTTGCAAAAATCAATAAATAATCACTGATGATGTTTGATTGACATTAAGACACATAGCAAATCGGAAAGACACCATTTTGGAAGTATTTTACACAGTTTTAAAGAAAAGTTTGACAGTAAAAAAGCAAAATACTCAAAAGTCAACCTATCTTTTGAAAAATGAGTCAAAACGACAGCGTGTAAGAATATGTTAACAAATTCTGTAAAAATCAGAAATTTTAATTATCCACGTTTGTCTGAAATTCGAACAGATGATGAAACTTGAATATATTGCTTAAAACCCTCCATATTCTGAAATATTAGTGGTCTTATTGTTCGAATTGGTATTCATGGGGGCGGTTCAATTTCTGGAGGAGTCTAGAAAGCAAAATTTCTGCCAAAAAAATCGAAAGGTTTATGAAAGAAAGAAACTAGAATCAGGAATCCACTACATTAAATGTCTTCATGACAGCGTCCAAACCTACACGCCCTGAAGAGTAAAGGAGTTTTAGGGATAAACAGACTGTTAATGTTTTGTCACGCCAACAGTATTCGCCAGATCTTTCACCCATTGGCATGTTTCATTTTCAACTTGGAAAAAAAACACTTTTCGAAAAGAAGAAACAGGTCCATCACTCCTACTAATGTTATTGTGATTTAAATTCAAGACACGTGGTTACGATTTACCTATTCAAAGGTTATAGGGTAGAACCGGTTTTATAAATAAAATTGGCAGTAAACAGGAAATTGCTATAGTCTGTTTCTTCTGAAAACATGTCCTATGTAAAATGTGTTGCCAGACCTTTCTGAAAGATTTTCATGATTTTCAACAGTAATGGGTGGCTAAAATGGGGGGTGGGGGTAAATAACAATTTTACATCTTATCATAGTTTACTGCAAAAATAACAGCTCACTAGCGACCGATACGCTGGTAAAAATGTGTAACATCATCTATACTGACAAACCTTTGTTTGCCTTATATGGCTATTGCTATTAATGCGCACAGAGATCTTACCACGAGCAACTGACCAATTGTTGATTGAATACGTTTACGTAAATACATGTTTACATATTACTCCGAACACGTGGTTCAGGTCAATTTATAATCATGTCAGTGGTATGCAAAATAAAAAAAAATGTTCTTATGAACAAAATGCAAACATTAGAAACTATGAAAGATATATCACGGGTGTTTTTTTGTTGTTAACTAGAAAACATGTTTAATAAAATGCATACGTTGTTAGTGTCAAGTTCAGAACACCAGCACTTCAAGGGTAAGGAAAACGAGCAGCTTCTCTTATGCATTTAAATGGACAAAACATGTTTAACATAACTAAATTAGTGATCACGTGTGTTGGCCAGGGAATCCACCTGACAATTGTCTTCACCGATAGTACAATAAAGGAATTTATCAAGCGTAAAATTCCCGTAGTATTCGTAGTAACCCATAATGCAATTCTCATTCAGCTGATTTGTCAGTTAAAGTCACATTGGTGCCTCATTTGCTAATCTGACGCCAAAAAATATAGTCCCGGTTCCCATGCAAAATATTTGGCCAAAAAGAAATTTTAATTCATGACAGCAGAAAATTGTATCATAGAGAATACTTATAATTTAAACTTGGATGAATTCAAGATAGATCGATTGAAGTACATTCCTACAGAATGATATGATCGGGTGGTGAAAACTAAAACGCAACATAACTTTTCTGTTTACCACGTCTCCACGTGCTAGTCACTTCCTAGCCACATTTCCGTGAATAATTTACCCTATCTCGCTGAAGTCTCGCTAACTCTCGCCAGAGCCACTGTCAGAGCTACTCTGAACTCATCGGGTTTTATAATTGGCAGAACACCGAAAAATAAAAGGTTCCGAACACATTAGTAGGGGTGTCCATGAAATCATAGGATCTGTCCTGTTCCAGTATACGAAGGGTTATACTCAAAATTGAGTTCTAAAAACAATCAGACATTAGATAAAAATGTAACGGACGTGTATTTTAACTAAACGGGAATATTTAAGTGAAACTAGTAAGACTAAATAATTGAAAAGCGTTTTTGTTTCTTTTCGAGCACCGAGGACATTATTTATTGAACAACCCTCGAATTTCAGTATTTGGTGATCGGTATGTTGCAAAGTTTTGTTGAATTTCTAATCGGACTGTCAGAAAAAATATATACAGGTCCTCAACTGATGGGAAGAACTCCTGGTGACCAAATGAAAATTCTCGTGTTTGTTCAAAGCATTTTGTTGATGATGAACCCTCACTGCTACATCCTTATCCCTCCATTAATTAGGGGCATACTAGTATTTCATTCTTTTAATAATAAATTTGTTTAAACAAATGTAATGCAGTTTCAGTTTCTTTGGACTACAAGGCTGTGCGAGTTCATATTTAATAAATAATTTCACTCCCTTAAAACATTTCTTTCTGAAAAGATTCCAGGTTGCTTATGTTTATCTTTGACACATGTAGCTGTCTTCTATTTGATAAAATGCTTCATAATCGTACACAAGATAACACGTTCCGTCCGAGGTTTAGTGCTGGTAAACAAAGGTATTCCTCAAGAAACGTGAAACACGTTTTGGGGCCCCAATTTCAAGCTTAAATTCTTACTTATTTTTAATGTGTATAAAGCTATTGAACCTTCGTAAAGAAAACACAATTGCTAACTACTACCTTTTTAAAATCACAGATTTTTCTTTAAAAATTATGATATTATTAATTTCCATAAATACTTTTGCCCTTTTGGTGCCCAGGAATTCTATAAGGGCATTACTTAACATTTGAATCACATTTTTGAATCTGATGCTTTGTCCGATTTACATAAAACAATTCTTTTATTACATAAAGGATGGATACTATAAAACCTCGGACATTTTGTGCATTATACAGATCGATCTCAACTTTAAAACTAGTAAAATCCCAAAATGATTGCCTTCCTAACATTGGCTGTGCTTGTACAGAGTGCTTTCGCTGGAAACCTTGTAGAAGTTCTCCAAAACGACGGGGAAACAACTCTCATTGCTCTTGTACAGCAAGCAGGATTAGCTGATGCTCTTTTAGGAGGTAAGCTAAATTTTTTATGCATGATCAATGAATTCTATATTACCGTGGGTATCGTTATGTTCTCGAGAGGGACGTTAAATAACAATAAAGCAATAGTATATTTAATATTATATAGAAACATTTCATTTCAAGATATGTAGTCTTTAGAACAACCAATATGTTCTTTTCAGGGGAATTCACTATTTTTGCTCCAACAAATGCTGCTTTTGCCAAGCTTCCCCAAGCTACACTTGACAGTCTATCAAAGGACACGACAGCTCTGGCCAACATCCTGAAATATCACGTGGTCAAGGGATCAATCCACAAAGCTGATGCCTCTAACGAACTTCAGTTGGAGACTTTGGCGGGAACCAAAATCAGATTCAACATCTACAGTCATAACCATGTAGGTCTTCCCTTTTTAATTTTGTTCGAAGAAAAACTTATTTAGATGTAACTCGATGAAAGCATGCAAGGCCACATTCTGGCTTTTTATCTCTGTTTTACTTAAGAACATCTTCTTTTATATGTATAAATTTAAGTACACAATTCTGTTCATCATCTTATACAGCGAAAATATTGTTAAGTATTCGGAAGATAAGAAACTTGAATTTTTTTCTAAATCTTTCAATGAAAGGTTGTGACAGTGGAAGGATCCAAAATCACACACTTTGATCTGACCGCATCAAACGGAATGGTTCACGTCATCGACACCGTGATGATGCCCCCTGAAGGCAGTATTGTGGATCTCGTGGCCGGAAACAGTGACCTCAGCACTCTTCTGTCAAAGGTCCAGTCAGCTGGCTTGGCCGGAGCTCTGCAAGGTATTCGCAACATTCATGTATTTCATCTTCTTAATGTTAAATCATGAGGAAAGCTTTAATTTAAATTCCTAATTAGTACACAATATTTTTGTGTAAAATTCCAGGCGATGGATTAACAGTATTCGCACCAACAAATGCAGCATTTGCAAGACTTGGCAGTCATGTTTTGGACAACCTTAGAAGAAACCCAAACCTTTTGAAAGGTATATATATGCTAAAATTTAAAGGATTTTGCGTGTTTTAAGGTGTTTCTACCCTCACAATTTTAATGGTTCAAAGTACAGAAACTGCATTTATTTTCATTTAATATGCTTAAAATTTTTCAATTATTGCAAAAAATGTATAGGTCACCATACTATTTAAGATGCAAAACATAAACACACAGAAGTGTATGTCAACATCAAAAAATCGCACAATCTTTGTAAACAACATTATGAAAATATGTAAAAACTGGTTAAAATGCATAATTCTGATCCTGAATGTTTCTAAATACTTCCGACTCATAAGATACTTAAAAATTGTGAATATCAAGGAAACTATTTTACATTTAAAGTACAATAAAGCAAATGCCTGAATGAAGAGTCCTTACATAGAGTTATTGCCCTTGCCAAATTTTTTTAAAGATTGAATAAAATAAAGAAAATATGCATTTTTTAAATTCCTTTACTTAATAATATTTATCATTACACATTTTTATAAAGCATTCTTCCAAAAGATATTGTTCTATTAGGTATGAATTTAAGTTAATTACAGTTTTTGCAAAAACCTGTGACATCATAGGAGAGTGGAATTACCTTAAGTGGTTTCTGTCCTACCCTGATATCAATCTTTTTAGTCTGTTTTTGACACATGTATCTGTATTTAATCTTTTAGAAATTCTTGAGTACCATGTTGTTCCACATACTGAATACTC